ATTTTTAAAATTGTGTCAAAAATAATATATGCATGTGAAAGCAAATCAAACAGCAATGACACAAGTCTGTTTGAACGTACTACAAGCTCAGATCTAGTACTTGGTTTAATTTTTAAAATTGTATCAAAAATAATATATGCATGTGAAAGCAAATCAAACAGCAATGACGAGCTTATAATAAAAGCAGTAGTCTCCCATCCTAGGACTCCGCACCCACAATTTCATTTCACAAAGACAGTCTCTTTACTCTCTGGTTTAAATTCTTCTAGCAGTTTTTTGCATAACTTTAAATAATATGCTTATTGTATTATTTTGTGCTTATTAATTTTAGATGGAATCCATTGACAGTCTGCTGTGAAAAATGAAGACTTAATTCATTTACATTATCTCTTTTCTGACCCCCTTCCTTTCCTGTTTGATAGTTAAATTACTACTTTTAGATTTCCTTATGGTTAGTTTAGTGACTTTAAATAGTATGCTAACACCTCTACTTCTTATTCCTTTAACTTTTGTCAGTGTCCTGGCTCCTGTTTAAGTGAGAGTATAAATGACTTCTCTATTCTTGGTATTTTGAAATCTCATGATTTAATGTAGATCTTTTTAAAAAATTAGTTTTATTTTGTCCTCAGTGAGTCTTTTAATTCTGAAGAACTATGTCTGACTCTCATCAGCTCTGGAAATTTTTCTATGTCTTTGTTGTTTTCATTTCTTCCATTTTATAGGTTCTCTTTTTGGAACTATTGGTTATACCCTGGACTTCCTGGATTAGCCTCAATGCCTCTTCCCCCACCCCTTATATTTTTCATCTCTGGCTTTTTATTCTGTATTTTAGATTTTCTCAATTTCTTTTCCAGCACTTCTTTTGATGTTCTTTTAAATTTTGGCTATCATATGTTTAATCTCCATAAGCCCTTTCTTGTTTTCCATTTATTCCTTCACAATAACATCTTTTTCTTGTGGATAATCTGCTTGGATTACTATAAATGTATTGGAGGGTTTTTAAAGGTCTCTCGTATGCCCTGAATTATTTTAATTTCATTCAGCATCAGTTTTTGTTTGTTTATCTTAGTCTTTCTCATTTGTGTTCTGATTCCTCTTATATGCCTGATCCTAATTGATTATCTATTCTTACTAGAGAAAGAAGGACTGGGTTGTTTGTGTAGATTTGCTTTGCTGCTCTTTTACTAGTTTTCCAGGGAGGCCTCTGCGTTGTGAGGGGTAATGGGGCTGTATTGGCTGTCCGATTTCACTACAGCATGAACTGCTGGCAAGCCCGAGGTCAGCCACTGGCTTTCAAAATTCTATAATATGAAGGGTTGTGGATAAAGGTACCAAATCCCACAAAAGTCTTTGCTCCCCAGAAGGTTCATCTAACAAAAAAGGTTTCTGTCTTTCCCTGTTTTTCCTGGAATTTTAAGTGTAGGAGTACAGGAGAAGTACAGAGGTGCTGATTTGCACTGGAGATCTGTATGTAAACCTTCAACTAATCTCCCTGTTTTTGGTCACATTTCTCACTTTCATCTCTGAGTCCAGCACGTTTCATGATTTCTAACAGGCAAATCCTGTCCCGCCCTCTCTACAGCCCTGTACAGTATGTTCAACATTCGACACACTTCCATATGCATTCCATCTTCCAGAAATTGTTGACCTCTCTTCTGCAATTGTGAGCAAATCCCATCCTCCACATCTTTAGCTAGTTTGGCAAGGTGTATTCCTTTTCTTTGTGCTTTTATTTTATTTCAGTAGGTCTCAGGAAAGATGAGAGATGGGCTCAGGTGCTCGGTACATCATCTTGAACTAGCAGTTTGCCATTGCTTCCTTTTTCTATTTCTTGGTGGGAATATAATTTAAGTTAAATAATGAGTTACTTCCTCAATCCTACAGACTTGCTTAGCTGCAGCCTTCACCATCTACTTTGTACCTAAGGAGTCTGAGGTCCCCTAAAATTTGAAAATATTGGAGAGATTGTAGTTAAATGATTGTAGATTTATGCTGAAAGACTAAGAAGGGTTCTAACTAAGACTTCGAAGAAACTTATTTTGGAATTGGTTTCATTCATTCCACAGCATTTGATAAGTGACTAAAATGGTCCAAGTACGAGGCTAAGTGCTGAATAAGGTATAAACCCTACCCTTGAGGATAACATAATCTGGTGAATAACTTGAGTTTATGTAGCATTTTGCAGTCTCTAAATGAATTTTACCTGTGGTGGACTCAACACTTACTGATTTACCATTCAGTTTTAACTACTCCTAAGGGACCCCAACGATCCATGACATGTAATAATTTATTCATTTTCCTGGGTACAAATTTGAATCTCATGCACCGTGAAACTGTGCATGATGTAGTTGCATGGGTGATGAAAGAGCCAAGCTGACACTTGTGGACCTTGAAGTAGCCTTGTGCATATTGTGTATGAATTTATAACCAGCTTCCTGAGCCATTTTAACTCGATGGGATACAAACATGAATGGGCTTATTTTTTTCTTATCTTTTTTCTTATTTAAGAATGCTCTTTCAGATCTCTGTTTTAGCTTTGACATCTTAGGCAGATTACACAGCTTTCCAGACACTTTCCATTGTTAAAAAGTTCAGTAGTGTCCAATTTAAAGTTTCAGTCTCATTTCTTCCAGTCCGCCAGCTCAGGTTTGACTCTGCGAAGGAACGTGGAATGGGGGGAGAGGCTGGTCTGCTGTTTCCCTTCTCCTCTCTCCCTTTCTGGTTCTGGCTCTTTCATCATATTGTGAGGGATGGAAGGAGAGGGAAAGGGATGAGTGTCTGCTCCTTTCCTGGCCACTGCCATAATCCCATATGGTTGTTGTTACTGTAGCTAAGAGATAACTGACTAACCATCAACACCCTCTTTGGGGTAAGCATCCAAAGGATGGCTCTTAAATGCGGAACAGGTGGAAATTTTCTGGGAGTCCTCACTGAATAGTTCTTTGATGTGAGAGATCAGTTTTCCCTCCTCCAAACCCCTTCAGCTCCATCCCTGGTGGTTCACCTTCATGGTCTCTTATTGTCAGGTGAGCCTGAGTGCTTGACCCCACATCCTACCAGGACAGGCTGCTTCATCGCTGCCTTCTTTCTGCTCCATTGACTTTTTTTTCAGCTCTCTTGTGGTCTCTGTGGGTCTCATTTCTCCCTGCTCAAGTGGGCACAGAGGGCGGACTAGCGGGTGTGCCGTGTAAGAGGTGTTCAATTAAAAACTGAGGTGCTGCTCTGTACTTTCAGTCTCTATGAGAGATTCTC